GAGTGTTTTTTCTGAGTGTTCGATCTTTGTATTAATAATTATAACAAGTCTAAGAACTTCTAAGAAAACTTTATTGTGTTCGCCAAGACACACGTGAATGAACTTAAAAACTATCGTATTATAACATTATAAACTTAAAACTATAGCATAATACAACAAATAGACAAAGAAAAGTAATTTGCACACAAATGCAATTTACTTTTGATAATCTCACAACATCACAATAATAATACGAGTTATAACAAAAGCAAATGAGTGTCGCGACACACACAAACGGGACTTGCTCACCGTTTTGCTACGGGCAGGATATCCTACCTATAGCGCTGGTTTCCAGCAAGCCCGATATGAGTGCAGCGAAAATAGACGGTAATTGTTCTTTTTTTAGTCCCACGCCCACGCCGCTTGCCACGAGTGTGGACAAACTACCGGCTTGCGCCCTCGCTGTTATAAGTAGCAGTAAAGCTCCTCGTGCAGGAGTTCATCCAGGAAAGTACCTACTGCCACCTTATCTATTTCTGCCGGCCAGCAGTAATGTCAGCATTACTGTGTTCCGGTTTTGAAGGGAAAGGGTAAATTTTCTGGGCGAGCTCGTACCATTGTAGATGCTCCAGAGCTAGGTAGTGGTCAAGAGCAACTCCATCCAATTAAAAAAAGTCAACGGAAAGTTAAAACACAGTTACAAGTTTACAGGTTTAGGTTACAGTTACAGTTAAAAGTAGAAAACACAGATTCCATTCTGTGCTGTGCTGTGCATATCAAAAGAAGAAAAGAAAACAATACTGCAGCAAAACAATGACGCCATGAACGCAGGACATCTAGACACGTGTCCAGTGGTTTCGAATGTTTAGTCCACTTTGCTCGTTGGGTAAGTGAATGCAGGTAATATAATTTCTAACGCTTCCAGAAGTCTTGCTGAAATCTCTGAATGATTTGCCATCTTCCTAATCGAGATATGTTGATAGCCGTAAAATCCTCATCCGGAACAGAGGTTAAAGTCTCTAAGGTAAGAAAATGACCCGGCGTTAGTACGTTGAAGTCGTTGAGGTCTGCACTAAGTGCGTAAAGTGGACGCGAATTTAGCATGGCTTCTATCTGAACGAAGACTGTAGACAGTGCTTCGAACGTTAGCGAATGACCACCCATCAGTCGATATAAATGCGATTTAACACATTCTATTTGAATTTCCCAGATGCCACCAAAGTGTGGGCTAAATTTAAAATCTATTAGGTCCTGATTGCAGGCATTTTTCATATATGAATTCAACAAATTGTGTACCCCTACAAAATTAGTACGGCAATCAGAATGTATTGTTTGAATGCGACCTCGTCTACTTAAGAAGCGACGAAGTGCGGCTAAGAAAGCCTCGGAGGATAAGTCTGAAACGACTTCTAAATGTAAAGCCTTTGTCGCGAAGCACACGAAAAGGCACCAGTATGCCTTACCTATCTTTGCTCTTCTATGTCGACCCTGCCGAATACGAAAGGGACCACCGTAATCTACTCCGACTATACAAAAAGGTTTAACTTGGTTGACGCCTGGAGCAGGGAGATCGCTCATAAATGGTTGCAGCGTAACGGGCTTGGTACGAATACAGGGTACACAGTCTGATAAATAATGCCTAATCGAAAACTTTGGAGAGATAATCCAAAACTGTTGCGAAATGAGATACTGCATTGTATTTATTACCAGGGTGAAAATTGTCACGATGAACTGCTTGAATTATAAGCTGAGTTAGTCGGGAGATTTTGGGTAAGAGAGCCGAATGTTTGTGATCATACTCCAGGCCCGAACGAGATAAGCGTCCGCCCACTCTGAGAATACCACGGCCATCTAAAAAGGGATTAAGTTTGCGCATTTGTTTTTACAGGAGTTTACCTTCCTTTGAACTCTTTTTACGTAAACTAATAAAGCGTCGTAAAATTCCAGACGAGTTGGAAACAACTGTGTTTCCCGAGATTCAGGGTTGCGACAGTTATGCGACAGTTATGCCGCGCTGCACCGCGGGACACAAAGAAATACCCACTTTATTTAGTAGAAATTAAACTATAATACTGCATTGCATTCAGTACGCAGTGTGCCTTTTTTCCGCCCACAGCCGGTTGCTGCAGTTTTGTTTTATAGAAAATAGAAAACAAAGAGAATAAAACCACCACTGATCCAAAAAAATATCACAAATACTCGTATTTGCCCTCGTGAGGACGAACCCGTGCTTCAACCAGAAAATAGTACTCCGCCTTCAATTAAACCTACTTCTCGCTATTTAGATTTTGACGCTTTTTAATGTTAACAATTTAGTTAATAAAGTACCTATTTTAATATACATTTATTTAACCTCGCGCAAAATACGTATCATTATGCACTTGTTATTATTGGCATTTCAATCGGTTAAGAACAAATTAGTCTTATTGATCGTAATCACTTTTATTTCTTTTTGTTATTAGTCTAAGTGTTTATTTACGTAGTGTAAAACAAATTGAATAACACATAAAAGTTATACTTGCGATGACGCATAATTAATTAGTAAATATTGACATTTGTTAAATGCATTTAAAATACAGGGAATAGAAATACTTGTTTTAATTTTAACTACATGCTACTCTTTTCTACTTCTCTTTTATAGTTGAAAATAGTAGCATTAGTTGTTAATTGATAGGATGTAACGATCGAATCATGATCGCATGATTTACCTAATACTTTCACTATTCATGCTGTTACGATTTTGACCGTAAAATATTACGTAATGTTTATTTTTACGATGGTATATTCTCGAATGTCTCTGAGGAAACAACGATGTAGGTATAGACTGCAAAAACACACTTATGACACGTCTATTCTAGTTTACAACTTATCTTTATTTAACTTTGTGTAAGTACATAATAGGACAAGATTTTTCTATTGACATAGAATAGGCAGAACACGAAACTATAGATCTTATGAAACGACAAAACGCATTGTAAACTGAACGTAACTGTCAATGTCAATGTCATAAAATATGGAAAATAAACAACGTTATTTTCACAACAAGTATTTAGAATAGTATGATCCTTTTTATCTTTAGAACTATAAAAATTATTTCCAGATGTCTTCCTTTCTTTGTTTTATATGCCACAGTACAGTAACTTCAGATACCAATGAAGATATGCGAGAGAAATATCGCGAAGTTGTGGGCATGCATGTAAGTTGATTTACTGTGCTATTTTCTTATTAAATCGATTTAAAAAACGTTTATTTACTGTACTACTGAATGTATTTTTTAATATTATTCCTATTTACCCCTATTATGCTTTCGCAATTATCAAACAATTTACTTTAAAATTAGTTTCCAAGTTGGATTCTTACGCTAATGATAAAGGTTTTACCTTGAAAATAAGGCAATTTTTCGCTTAAACGTACTTTCACACTTTAGACGTTATACATCCGACCTGGGAAAAAAATTAAATGTTAAATTCGTTCAAGCATCCATAAAAAATTGTTTGATGTATTTATATTATATTTGTTACTACAAAAGTTATTGTTAGTTGCATCCATAACTAGTAAAATAGGCGCTGTAACATTGAGTTTCGGAAAACCTTTTACAGCATGCCATATTGTTAATTTGATAATTATGTAGATTATATGTAATATATACATAGCGTTGTCAGATGTCCGGGTAAAGATATTGTCTAGGGTCGGCGGACTAAAGCACATACATCAAATTCATTTGTTACTTCATAAATTTCTAACTTTATTCTAGAGGTTATTCAACTTCCAACACTGAAAACAACACAAAAAATATATATAATTATATATTAACAAATGAAGCACTTTTTTTACTTATGTGCTTTAGTCTGCCGACCCTAGAGTTAGACGTTCAGGATGCTCGTTAGGCGAAATTAGACCGTGTTTGGTTTACCCAGGTTTTTATGTTAGATCATTCACTAATAGATGATTATTTATTTATTTATTAATATTAAAGGAGACTGTTATTCAATTTTATTGTTACTTCATTAGAATGTAAGAATATTTTGATAAATTTTTATAGAAAAAAAGTAATTTATATAAAAAAAAAAATGTCATAAAACTGTGACACTAAATCCTTAAAATTGACTGGTTTTAACGGCCTAGTGACAAAAACTATGTATGAAAGAAAAAGTAAAAACAAAGACCTAGTAAAGAGTAGCTCAGTTGAGAGAGTAATAGCCCGCATGTCGCTGGTTCGAATCCAGCTTGATCAAAGGAATTTTTCTTTGACCTTCTTTGACCTTTGTTTCAATAATAACAACAAATTATAATAATCATAATAATAACGCGCACACTCACAGTCCTGCTGTGAGTGTGCGTGCAACTAGGCAAACCCTGCATCGCAAGTGCCATGAACATACACATAGACAACCACAAATTACACAACAGAAATTAATGTAGACTATAGAAATATTTCTCCCAGCCCAGGAATCGAAGCCTAGGTCCTCTGCATGGCAAACCAGCATGGTAACCATTCAACTACGGACACAGTTAAACTTAAAAAAACTAGTTAAGTACTTTCACAAAAATATATAAATAATCATTAAGTGTTATGTAATATGTCAGCAATGTTTCTATATATTCTAACATGTACATTTCTATTGCAGCTTTGCCCTGACTCCCATCTATGCTACATCTGTTGTCATGTTCTAAACAAACTGTGGCTCTTTAGAGCGATCTGCTTGAAGCGTAGCCTGGAATACCCCGTGCTATTTAGGTATGTACTCAGACCAAAGGTTGGTTCCTATGAGCGTAGTGTAAAATAAGACAAGTAGTACACAGTCTACTAAATAGAACGTGGCTTAGTAACAAAATATTTTTTTGACGTATCATAAAAAAGCGTAACCCCTAGAATATTGAAATTTTTAATGATATTTCTATGCATCGTTAGAGTTAGTTCCGATAAGTCGAGCACGTTAACTAATTTTAACTGTTTTTTTAAAGAGAATTTTATGCTCTAATGCTATTTAAAAATGGATATTTGACCATTTGTCACTGACACTAGTTTTAGTTAGTGGACGGCAGTACAATTCTCGCCTGTTCGTACTGGTGGCGCGATTTAAATTGCGGGTAGCCTAAACCGGCCAACTATGCGGGGAATGATTGATTAGAACAAATAAGAGTAGGTTAGCTGGGAGCACAATACCTCTTCATACCAACCGCGTAGCCGTTCTGCCCGTGTGTTGAGTGTGTCTTGACTGCTTGCTTCGCACAGGGAGCGATTTTTGATGTTACAAGTACACCAAAACGTATGTTCACTATAGTTTTCAGTTTAGTATGGTTTCACTATGTTTTTTCACAATTGACAATTGACAATTGCATTCGACGGCTATATTTCATCAGCCCTTCATTTGAGATCAGGTAATTGGTATGGTTATCTGGTACATTATTATTATTATAAGAAGTATTTGATTTATCTATGTGTTAAGAAAATAATGGAAAATTACATTTTCAGTGAAAAAGGAACCTTAAATCTTCAAAGAAATGATTTAGAAATACATACTGTATGCACCGAAGACACTTGTGGTCAATACCATCACAGAAATATCAACTCAAAAACGTACAATTTCCGTTTTAATTACAACTGTCAAAATGAATACAACTTCGACAGCTATAATGATCAAAATCATGGATACAATTTAGACAATCAATATGTAGCAATGGATGATCATAATGAATTTGATAAATATTTCCAAAACGACACTACAAAGTGTAATTTTAATAAAAATGAAATCAATAAAAATAATTATGAAATTGATAGTTGTAAAAACAATTTTGATAATGAAAATAAACATGATTTGAAAAATAATGAATTAAATAATGATTTTAATGTAAATAATATTGATGATTTTGTAGATAGTCCGTATACTGAATCTAATGAAGACGCACAAAGTTTGTGTCATTCAAAAACAGACAGTAATGAAAATAATGGCGAAATAATTGGTGATAACGAAAATAATAATGATGTTTCGAATAGGAATGAAAATAATAATGGTATTAATTCCATTGACAATGATAATCAAAACATTAACAGTGAAATTGTGGAAGAAACCTTTCAAATAAATCCAGAGCTAAATGAAAACATAAAAGAATTAGAAAACAATATTAACGAAAATGAGGTTAATAAATTGGACGAGTTTAACCTAAATGTTGATAAAAAGTTAAAGAATAAAGAGAAGAAAAGAAAAAAGAAATATGAAAAGATAATTCTCAGCCCAGAAGAACAAAAAGTAGACATAGAAAGAAGAAGAAAAGAAAAGAAGTATATAGAAGCTGAATTTAAGTGTTATAATTGTGCATTGGGGTTTCTTTTTAAAGATACCTATCAAACGCATATGTTAAGGCATGAAGAGGTAAGTACCAAATGTAACTAAGGTGGAGTTCGTGATGTCGTGTAGGAAAGCCAGCTCAACCACAGAGACTTTGATCTTAATAGCTTAGTAGAACTTATTTTGTAGCCGTAGAGCACCTTGTAAAAGAGTTCGTCCAGGGACGTACTAAGTACCGAGACGAACAAGTCGTTTGCCTTGTTGCTGTGCCACTCAGAGCTTTAAATCACTAAGCTCTGAGGGGCACTGCCCCTGTGCCCGTAACCTAGAGACATAACTTGACAAGTCCCATGTGCCTGTAATTTCACCAGCACCCTTAAGGTGCAATACTTTAATGCTATCCCTACAATATGAAAAAATGAAAATACTTAACACAGATCCGACGTCGACAAGCGCTCGACGGCGACTGACGGAGCAACGGGCGGATTAACAACATGGAAGCGGCATATCGTTAAACCGCTGGGCAATTTTCAAATTTTAGGATAGGTGTGAATTTAATAACTAAAAGGGCTTCAGTTGAAAAGCAAATATTTTGCAGGTTCTCTATAGTATTTAAATGTCTTAATAGGCAATGTTAGATATTTTGTCCTAAAAGAATTTGTTTTAGGCTTTTATTTTTGCATGTTTTCAAGATTATTTGATTTTTGTTTCGGAACTTAATCACGTAAAACACATATTTTAATTACCTCGATGTTTCGGTCGTATTGCAACGTCTATGGTCTCAAAGGGACTTCCCTCGAGTCCCGTCGAGGTAATTAAAATGTGTTATATATGTCATTAAATCTCCAATTTAAAATGAAATAATGTGTGAAAATCGTGAAAGTTTAAATAAAAAAATCATGAATTTTATATGATCGGATAAAGTACATCCTGTCGTCTAATAAATTAGCACATTCTTTAGAGCATATCTATAGGTGTATCGTATATTTTTTGTAACAAAGTTATTTAATAATAAATACTCAAATCATTTATTTAATCTACTAAAACAGTTTTTCGAGCTTCTCCGGTGACTTTTTAACCTTCAAATATGATACCTTTTAGTCAAACGGCGAATATCGATGCTCCACATGTACACTCCGTTTCGCGTCACCGTCGGTGCTACGTTCGCATACGTCGTCACACGGCGAACGCTACAAATGTCGACGTTGCAATGAAATTACGACGGCGCGAGCTCGACGAACTCACACACGACGTTGTTGGATGAGTACGGAGGGAGTCTCTTGCCACCTTTGTGGTAGCATTTTTCAGTAAGTTTTTTTATAATAAATTATGAACGAATAACTCTAGAGCACTGCTGATAGCGATACTAAATAGTACCTATTTTGTTTGCTGACGACACGTCCTTGATTTTTAAAACAGACAGATATGACGTTAACTATAACAATATTAACGACACCCTCTCAAAGTTAGTTTATGCTAACATTTATTGCTCAATGCCAAAGTGTGTTAAATTTGAATTAATTAATGGTAAATCGACTAGTCCAATCATAGAAATAAATGGAGAAAAGTTAGACCTTCTTAATAAAGCTGTCTTTTGGGAGTGACCTTAGATAGTAAACTTCAATGGTTTCCACACATATCTGCCTTAGGCAGCAAATTAAGCTCTGCTGCGTACGCAGTCCGTAGAATAGTTACTTCCATGGTATAATGTCCTATGGGATTCTCATGTGGGGTAAAGCGGCCAGATATACAAACCATATTTGTGTTGCAAAAGCGAGCGATTAGGTTCTCATATTTTAAGGTCATTAGCAAATTCTGATTGTACATTTTTCATAGTCAGGAATTTTTCGAAAATTTAACAATTTGGTCGTGTACAAATAAAATCATCTAAATGTCTAAAATAACGGCGCAATCTAAGAACAAACACAAAAATGGTTCATTGCATGCTAGCTACATGGTGACATTACTTCCATACCAAATTGCAATTAATTTAGTGGAATAGCTTTCAAACTGTCGTGGTTTTAGTGACTAAAGTAGAAATTTAAAAAAAAGCTACATATAAAAATCATAACTTCTAAACTATTGATTTTTCGTGAAACGAATCTTTATTTTAAATGGGTCATTACAATTTCCTCTATCTAAAAAAAACTTTTGGACCACTGTAATTGAGCCAAAATTTCAAATACCGACATTTTTCGGAAATTTACCCAATACTAGTTATGCCCCAGACTGTTAGATATATTTTGCATTTTAAATTACAGAGACCCCAACGGCTTACAACAACACTTGAAACGTTTCCACCAATCATCGAATTCGAACCGATCATACCCTTGTAGCGTCTGTGGCAAGACTTATTCGAAGCAAGCAGCGGTTAGAACACATATGATGTAAGTGCACTGTTTGAAAGTTTTATAATTTGTTTATTTTTTAATAAATAAGTGCTCTTTTATTGGTAGGTCAATGTCTTTTGCCCTCCATCTTGATTTTTTACCTCCATTTGACGAACTCCGTGGTCGAGTGGCTTACATACCGGCTTTCATGGTGACGCCATCTCTGAAGTCCCGGGCTCAATCCCCGGCCGGGTCAATGTAGAAAACTTTTCTATATTGTCTCGGGTTTGGGTGTTTGTAGTACCGTCGTTGTTTCCGATTTCCATAACACAAGTGCTTGTGCAAGTGCTTTAGTTACTTCTTTTGTAATCAGAGCAGCATTATGTGATGTTATCTAATATAATAACACATAGTTTCCCAAAGTAGTCCCTACCACCCCCCACTGGGCAATAAAGAGACCTGGAGGGGGGGGCGTGGCAATTGGGGTTGCATTGGACTAGATTTCAACCACGAAGTGTACAAATACTATAGAAGCCATGTTAAATGCTTAACAGCCGAGGCGTATCGCACGTATATCACATCTATTGAAAATGGTATTCGGCACGATCCTGCAAAATTTTGGACTCATGTAAATTATAGACGTAAGGACTATCAGTCCTGCTGTGAATTTATTGATGACGATGGTGGGATGGTAACGGGCCAGGAAGCGGTGGCAGCGTTTGCTCGTTACTTTAGCTTCGTTTTTCATTCTAACACGCCGCTCCTGGATCCAACTGAAGCAGAGAGTCGTGCAGGTGGTATGGGCGATGCCGCTGCGGTACGCATCACGCGTATCTCTGTGGATGATTTGAGCCGCGCTATACGTCGCCTAAAACCTAGTTCACCTGCTGGGCCTGATGGGATGCCTACATTCTTGGTAAAGGACTGTGGGTCGGTTCTAAAACTGCCGCTTCTCCATATATTAAACCTGTCGGTTCAAAAAGGGCTCTTTCCCAGTGCATGGAAAGTGTCAAGGGTAACACCTGTCCCGAAAAGTGGCACTTCCAAAAAAAATCACAATGCATAGACCAATCGCGGTCTTAAGTGTATTTGGTAAAGTTTTTGAACATATTTTAAACTTTTACGTAAAATATCAAATTTGTAATCGCTTAGATACTGCTCAGCATGGCTTTCGGTGTGGTCGTTCCACCACGACAAACCTTATTTCCTTTGTTGACTATGTGGCATCCGAAATGGACAAAGGTCGTCAGGTCGATGCCACATATTTCGATTTCAAAAAGGCGTTTGACCTGGTGAATAACGACATTTTGCTAGAGAAGCTGTCCTTGATGGGATTCACACCTGGTTTATTAAAGCTGTTTGCTAGCTATCTTGGTGACCGTAAACAATATGTGAAATTGGGGAGTTATTATCAATCTGACCCCTATTTCACAAGATCCGGCGTAAGCCAGGGCAGCATTTTGGGACCGACCCTCTTTCTTGTCATGATAAATGACCTTCCTAAGGTTCTCAACACAGCTAGTTGTTTGTTGTTCGCAGACGATTTGAAGCTCTACCATCCAGTTAATTCAGTTATCGATTGTCAAGCTCTACAGCGAGATATTAATGCGATATATGTATGGTGTGAAGACAACAGGTTACAATTTAACGTAACTAAGTGCAAAGTGCTCTCCTTTGCGAGATCTACTATCCCAACATTGTACCAGTATTCTATAGGTAATATTGTACTTGAGCGGGTACAGTCTATTCGCGATTTGGGAGTAATAATTGACTCCAAACTAGATTTTCATGACCATATCGCGACCATGTGCAAAGCAGCCAATAAAACTTTAGGTTTTATTATGCGTACGTCAGCACAGTTCCGTGATGCTGGGGTGGCCGTTATGCTGTACAACGCTTTTGTAAGAAGTAGATTGGAATACTGTGCGACCATTTGGAATCCGTGTGAGGATATATATACTCTTCTAATTGAAAAAACTCAGCGGAAGTTTGCTCGCTACTTGTACAAAAGAAAATACGGTTATTATCCTCTGCTTTTTCCTTCCTTGTTTGTGTCTGGAATGGTCGGTCTCGACACCCTGGAGCTCAGACGTAAAGTTCAAGCTGTTGTTCAATACGCATTTCTCCTGAGGGGTAAAGTAGACAAACCTGGAACACTGAACAACGTCGGCCTATTTGTGCCAGACAAGTATTTGCGCACGGGCCGGCGACGTCATCATCTGTTTGCACTGCCCGTACACCGCACTTGCCGCGCCGATAATGCACCCACGCGACGAGCTCTCTCATTGATCAATTGTTTGGTCTCCGAGGTCCAAGATGCTGACATTTTTTATGACAGCATTAGTCAACTTGCAAATAAATTAAGCAAAATATGTAATTAGTATAGTTCATTGCAAATGTTACCTATAAAATATTAACTTTGTATAAGAATTTAGCATGTAAGCGTTTTGGTTTTTTACTGTAAGTTTACATTGTAAGTTATAATTAAATAAATAAATTGGTGCTATCGGGGGGTGCTACCGCATTTGAAAATAAACCAGCAGCTTGATTTTGATTGCCTCTCCCGATCGGAAACGGCGTCTCTTCCGAGTCGAGGCGCATAATTGCCATTCACAACTGGCTAATGGCTGGCTAAATATATTTTTAACCGACTTCAAAAAAAGGAGGAGGTTTTCAATTCGACTGTTTTTTTGTGTGTGTGTATGTTACGCGATAACTCCGCCATTTGTGAATCTATTTTAATGATTCTTTTTTTGTTGGAAAGAGGGTACCTCCATAGTGGTCCCATTTACATTTGAAGAAAATATTCGACCTCTGAGGGTGGTAAACTGAGTATGAGAGATTTTCCTAGTAGACATAGAGACTCCAGTGACTGTTGTAAATTATATTATAAGGTCTTTTACAATAAATCCAATCTGAACAAGACCACGTCTGTTCTAGTCAAAGATGCTTTTCGTAATGGCGGCCGCCTGTCAGCGCTCCGTTGATATCGATTTATTTCTTATTTCGATGAAACTAATTCTTAATGACGCAAAGTAAGTTTTCTAACAGAATAAAATAAAATAATGTCACGATACGCTAACATAAGGAATGAATAACTTTTGAGGTCGGTTTTTTTAATACTCTGTACTCTGAGCTTAGGTTATTTTCCTTATGATTTTTTTGTGTTAAGTTAATAATAAAAAATACATATTTTAAATTATTTTTTGTTTTTGGGGGTTGACATTTTTTTATCTTACCTAAGTAGGCGGTGAGAAAAAAGTTTAGGAACCTATGTACTTAGAATAATAACGCATAGAAACCTAGTCCGCACACGCTAAGTGAGGCAAATTGAAGCGCTCCCAATGGGCCTACACGAGCGGGCGGGCCTTCAGTGCTCAAGGTCAACTTGCACCGCAAAGAGATCAAGAATTTTAGCTAAAAATGACGGAATGTGCGGTAAATAAGTGTAAAAATACGTCAGACAAACATAAAATAGATACTAACATCACATTCCACAAGGAAGTAACGCGTTTCAACTTGTATTTTTATATAAATATTCACTACAACCGAAAATTAACCTACTACTAAAACCAGCCTACATGAATTTGATTTTTGCCTCACTTGTGATAGTTCGTTTGATATGAAACTATCATTCTATGCGTTATTATTCTAAGCCTATGCAATAATATATCTCACCTGATGGAAAGTGATGATAAAGGCGACGACGTGGCATAGTCACCTAAATAATGCCTATTCACTGTCGCCTTAAAAAGGTCCAAGTTATACCATTCATAGAATAAGTCTGCAGGTAGGAAATTCAACTCCATAGCCGTTCGCCATATAAATGTGGAAGCGTGACGCTTCGTGCGAATACTTAAAATATCCACAACTTTTTTTAAATATATATCATGACCTTGGATTCGAGTCTTTCAGTCGAAATATTAGAGATAATAAATATAGAAAGTAATATTAAAAAGGTACAATAGTTAACAAATAGTACTGCCAAGGTCTGCCTGCTATTTGTATCTCCGGTTACAACCGGATATACAAATAGGCAGAAACTTCACAGAAGTTATAGACTTAGAGCGGATATTATCTCCCTCTGAAATCCTGAAATTATTTAATTATATGTTATTCTATATTTTAGATAGTGTATTTATAAGAAAAATTTTGTAATTCTAAGTAATAATATTTTTGTATCATTCCTGAAATTCGGATGGAGGTATTAATTACTATATGTGTACTAATAATAATAATAACGCAACGCTCATAGCCCCGTACTTGGTAAACCCTGTATCGCGGGTGCCATAGACACACATAGAGACAACCACAAATTACACCCAAACTTACGAGAGAAATAAATGTAGGTCATACAATTATTTCCACCGGCCCGGGCATCCAACCCGGCACCTCTACGCGGCAGTCCAGCATAGGCAGTTATTAAAACAACAGCAAATTTATTGCATTCTTTAAACATTATTATTTTTTGTATTCTCAGAAAACATATAAACAGAAAATTCAATTGCGACAAATGCACGTCGACCTTCAGCAATCCCTACACGTTGAATCAGCACAAGAAAAAACACGATCAAACGAATTCAACCATGTATTATTGTACAACATGTTGCATAGGGTACAGCACCAGAAAAAGCTTACTTGCACATAAAAGGAATGCATTAGCGCATCAACAGACCGTGTGAGTATTTGCCGCTGTGTCCTACTTTTATTTTTTTTTTATAAAATGTGTTGATTTGCATTATCGCCATATTTACAGAGGTCATTGTGTATCCGAAATTGAACCCAAATCCAAAGGTCATTTACTTGCACGGTACAGTCAAGAGCACATCAAGCTTGACACTTTGGACCGTTCTTATTGCAAGCGGCATAGAGTTAAATTTAAACCTTTAGTGTCAAGCTTGACGTGCTCTTGACCCTGTACGTGCTACCAAAATATATAGTGCAGCCGGAGGCTCTTGCTTTCTCAAACACAGCCCACGTGCATGCAAGCGAGCGCACTAGTTAAAGGTGCGATAGCTGAAGTCGCCGCAATCCTAGTAATCTGTTAGCCAGTTTCTCACGAAATGCCACGTGGTTTGGTATATAAACAAGAGTCTGTGAGGGTGTGACCTCTTTACACCGTCATCTCATCTCTTTGTATCGCCTCTCTGAGGAGAGAGGCGAAAAAAAAAAAGATAAGATACAAGAGGTTGTATCTTATTTTATTTTTACTTGTATTTAAATTTTAAATTTGAATTGTTCCATCTTCCTTCACTTTCTCATTTTGTTTTCGTACCACGGTCACTCCCAGCTCGACCGCCACAGCAGTCAGAGCTGTTAATAAGCTAATCATGTGTAATAATTTATAAGTCTACACCCTTCATGTATCTATTTCTGTAATTCAGTTTCTCGGCCCATTTAGGGGTAAGTGCCTTAATAATAAAGTGTAGGGAGTGTTTTATACTGTTATACTGTTTTTTTTATATTGTTACAGCCTTTCTTTAAACTTTACTTCTTTAATAAATTTTGTAGACCGTAAGTTTCCCATTTCATTGCCGTGAACCTGTTCCCGGCTAGTTAGGGTTACAAGTCAGTGCAAAAAAGAACCGCTACCAGGTTCACCAGAACCTGCATTAACATCAAGCGCAAGTACATGACTATACTTATGGCATGATGTGAAACGTTTAGTTTACGCAAAGGAGATTACGAGTGTCGGAAGAATTGCGCGCAAAAATCGTCTCTGCTTTCAAAATTGTGAAGTCAAATGTAGAAAGTTGAAACGAAACTAACAAGCGAATCTCTGCATAGCTGGTGGTGGCCAACTTCCAGCTGTGAAGCTAGGTACTTCTAGCAATACTTTAATGTAACCTAAAGTTGGTAAGTACCAAATCTAAGTTACAAAAACACTTTTTTCAATCCACTTTTCTAATTATTGTAAAGAATGAGTAAATTATAACAATGCTAGTACATAATCATAATTTAAAGAATAGGTAAATAAGCGATCGAATAAAATTACGTATATAGCTCGGTGAAGCGGGTGGTGGGGTCGCAGCCTTCGCGCATACGATTTAGGGACAAAAAACTTTACTAAATACAATTAGTCAGAATATTGAACAGATTATTTTGCAACATTGTCTTTAAATCTGCCCGAGCAAGCCCGAGCGAGTGCTCGGCCACTAAACATTTCACCGAACGATACGTAAACTCTCTCGATCGCTTAATTACCTTTTTTTTTAATTTATCAATTATTTACAATGAATAGGGAAGCTGACTGATTTTTTTTGTAACTTAGATTTGGTACTTACCATTTTTAGGTTTACCTACTTCATACGTTGTCGAGAGTTTCGTTTCAACTTTCTGAGCACTAGCATCCTGACTTCACAAGTTTGAAAGTGGAGACGGTTTTTGCGCGGAATTCTTAGACACTCGTAGTCTTCTCAGTGTTATGGGGTGACGTGAAACGGTTAGTTTTACATAACATAAGTAATAGTCACGCACTTGCCGTCCATAATGAGCACCACTTGATGGTAATACAGGTTCTGATGAACAGCAAAAACCTCTTGTTTACACAATAAACCACGCGTACATTTCGTGATAAACTAGAATTGATGGCGGCGATCTTAGGCGGCTATCCCAGTGCGTGAGCGAGCGCACTGATTGATGAGGCACGGGTGCTTGCGTTTGTAAAAGAGATGACAACACTGGCTTCTTTGTCGGTCCGTTATTTGATAGCACGTGCCGTGCATGGGTTAATGACCTTTGGATCAGGCGATTGCAAAATAACCCTCCAACTTGCAGCGAAATTCGCTACGGGTGGGTTGGATGATCTTGATACCTCCAATTAACACTACACCAATTTAATTTTTTGGTAATTTTCTGTTATTTTTGTAAACAGCCATATTTATTTACTAATATTATCCTCCCCGAATTTAGTGAAAAAAAGACAAAGAAACAAAATAATAAGAGAACCGGTCCAAAAATATACGTTGGCGTAGTGTACGTAACTGGTCGGATCAAGAGTCCCATGAGGCAGTGGTCTCCTTCTGTGAAGCGGTGATGCTTCAGAAGGACGTCGCCAGGCGTGATTAGTACAGGGCCGATCCCGATCGGCGGCGGCGGATCAGAGCGGGGGCTTCGTTCGCCAGTAAGTTAGGCAGCCGCGAGGAGGACGTCGGGGCGGTGTGGCCCGCTCCGCCGTGAGGAGAGGAGGAGAGGACGCAGCTCCTCCTAGGTGCTGGGGGATTCCGGTGCGCAAAGTCGGTCCCGGATCCTTCCCACTAGCGTTTTAGCCGGTAGAAGTAATAACCTTTTCGCTGCCCCCGCGGCGGAGAGGTATCCGGAAGATTTCCCTACCCAAAGAAAAAGTGTTCATAGCGGGTATCGATCAGATGCGTTTTTACAGGCGACCAGAACAATTAGAAAGTTTCATAGTGTTCCACATAACAATAGCTCCACGCGCCCCGATAGAAATTTTGCGTTTGAATGCCATTTAGTATTTTGACGGTTTCAGATAACTGACGTATTTTCATAAAAGTAAATGGCGACTTTCATAGCCGAGGCGTAAGATCCTAGGCCCGTGTGGCTCGTACACCCTGCGCCATATATAAAGCAATGCCAAGTTTCGTATTAGAAATCTAAAACTCGTTTCAGGTTTGAATGTCCAATTTGTTCTCGTGTAAGCCCAAACCAACGCTCCTTGACCAGGCACATGGAGTCAGTTCACTATGGCAAGAAGAGTTCAAGACCTTCAGTGAAGCAGAATGGGGAGAAGAAACGAGTCGCTCTTTGCCATTTGTGCGGAGCTAACTTCAAGGTTCGTGTTATTTAATTATAAATATTAGTAAAATAAGTGTTTTATTGAATGTCAAGATGTTAATTACCCCACTACTTTCTTATATTATTAATACAAAGATCGAACACTTGAAAAAGTCCTTCGGTCCGGCCGGATTCGAACCGACGTCTTCTAGCAAGCCTTGCCAGACGCTATGCCAACTAAGCCACGGTACGAACCAGCGGACCTCTCGAATTTTTCCATGTGACACATCGTACTACGTACGGCTAACGGCGCGAGGGAAGGTGTAGTGGCTGTGTCTTTGGACATAGCCAACGCCTTCGGCACTCTCCCCTTCGCCGTTATCAGGTAGTGCTCTGCCAGACAAGGGAAGGGAGGCGCGCCGAGCGCTCAATGAGGTGCGGAGTACCTCAGAGGTCCGTGTTAGGACCACTACTGTGGAACCTGGGGTACGATTGGGTGCTGAGGGGCGCGCTGCTCCCCCGGACGGCGGTCATTGCGTACGCCGACGATTCCCTGTCAACCTGAGATATAAGTTAACAATTCCCATGTGCCTGTGATTTCACCAGCACCCTTACCTTTCAAACACAGTAATGCTCTCATTACTGTTTGGTGGCAGAAATAAGTAAGGTAGTACCCTGAACCGATTCTTTCACTAGGAGTTCTGCTTCCTCGACCTTGGCTCACTTGGTAAAAGCGGTAGCCACGGGAAGACAAAAGACGCTGGTTCGAGTTAACATGAATAAATTAAGAATAGGCACAGAAAATTTGACACAGATCAGACGTCCACAAACGCCCGATGGCGTTTATAATAACATATGAATTTAATAACTAACCGGGCTTCAGTTGAAAATCAAAATTTAGCACGTTCTCTGTAGTGTTCGAAGAGAAATATTTCCGTATAAAAATTCTGTACAAAGTTAGATATCGTCGCCATACTTTCTAAAGTCATATCTCAAAGCACAAAGTTACTGAAATGTAAAAAATGGGTTGTATATATATTGATTTCACATACATTTCCTTCATATCGTCTGTTTAAAGGTAAAACCACATAAGTGCCATTTCTATAAACAGTCTTTATATAGCTATGTCAAGAAAATCACTTATCTTTCTGCAGGTGAAACTCAATAACAAAAAAGCTATAAACTCAATAAGTGGTTTTATTTGCAGAAAGATGGTGATTTTCTTACAACAGGTACATAATTCGGAGATTTTTTGTGGATTTGTGGAACGTCACTTATGTGGTTTTAGGTTTAAAAATAAAAAATAAATAAAAAAATAAAAAATAAAATGCATTTAATTCGGACAACAGTGGATCCATAGAATGTTAGTATTACAAACAAACTTATATAACTATGTTAGTACGAAAACTTAAATGAAGGGAGGACCAGTGTCTAAATAGACCGCTGTCCCACCTATCAGCTACTCCATTCAGGAGTCTGTGACGGCTAGCGCATACCCTACGCATCGATGCGGCGCAGCGCTTGCGCAATGTCGCACCAAAACCGTCTACACTCGCGTCCGCAAACATTCCGGACGCGCTACAGTATCGCGGCAGGCAGCCGTAACAGAATCCTGAACGCGTCATTGTATAAAACACGCATTGTGTTGTATGAGCGTTGGGTGTACCTGCTCCATAAACTGCAGGTATACAGCGATGTACAGTACGCTTTAAATAAAGTAATTTTAACTCGTACCGTACATCGACTGAACCTGCGCGCCAACATATTCGCTCTTATAGACAGTGCTCTGCGTTCCCTCTCAATGTCCGCGTCATCACGTAAATCATCCGTTACCAAATGGCCAAGATATTTAAAGGAAGTCACCATCTTAAGATCTTGACCATTTAGCAGAATGGGAGGTACGTGTGATGGACATTTGCTTCCCGCCTTAAAAACCATACACTGACTTTTGAGCACATTGTATCTAAGATTATGCCCAATGGCATACGATTCGCAAATGCTAATATAAGCAGACGATATTCACACACTGGCTTTTCCCTATTCCTAAAGTAATGCTTCCAAATTAACACCCTTGATAAGAAATTTCAAATAAATAGAAAGTTTTGCCATCTCCTGAATAATATCTGTTTATAACATGCTGGTTTCAGAAAGTAAGGCATCGATATTTTATTCTTAAATAAATCGTCTTAGCCTATACTTTTCAAGATTTTATATGATCGGGTAAAGCACATCCTATCGTGTAACACATTAGCACATTCTTTACACAATAATCCTTAGGTGTATCCTATATTTTTTGTAAGTCCGGTATTTAATAGAACATATCTAAACCATTTGAGCAAAACAATTTTTCTCGCTTCTCTAACTTAATTATCTATATTACTTAATTTATATTGCGGTGGAACGGTATGGAAGCGAATTTTTGTATGATAGATCACGTCACGCGTCTTCCGCGGAATTCTCGCGCAGGCCCGAGATAATATCAAGTCTCGTTTGCACTGACAGCGCCAACAACTGACCTGTGTGTCCGTATCCGTATATTCCAAAAATATTCTGTATTTATTATAATAAAAATAATATCTCTAACAATAACGTGCTATTTCATTCGATGGTGTGGGGAAAAACAGCAAAACATCTAATTACTAAACAAACGGAATCAAATTTCATCGGTAATTAAATATGTAATTTTGCAGTTTTCGTCCATTATAGCAAAGCTCAAGTTAACTGGTCGATTTGAAGTGAAACAATTGACGACACCTGTCAATTGTTTCGAATTCGAGCTGGCCAATTGGAGCGCACTTGTCACAGTAACGATATGGCAGAATAGTTTTCAAACAAATTAAATGACATTTCGTCTCTACTACTGGTTATATACTCGATGCTCAAGAATGTCCGCGCATTCACGAGAATTCTGCAGCTGCCGTCGGCGACGGTTGACAAATTCGCGAGAAGTGGCGCGAAGGCAGGCGCAATGTGACGTCAAACGTCGACGAAATAAAACCGCGGGCGCTGGAATGCTCGAGCATTCTCGAAATTGACGCTTCCATTCCTTTTTCTGTTCCGCCACAATGTAAAATGAACCTTAATGTATTTTTTATTTACAGGGCAATAACAAACTTAACCGCCATCTTCAACAAGTCTGCGAAAAGGCGAAGTTAGAAGAGGAATTCGCCAGTCTATATGATCAGGAATGCTTGAACGCGACATAACAGCTGACAAGAACACATTTCTGACAACACGAAAATTGCCTGCAAGATGTGGAATGGGCTTCTTTGTGAAGTATTTCTTTTACACTGTGACATGGGGTTCAACGATCAAAGATAGGGTGTGAATTAAAACCCAATCAACCCGCCCGGGCTTTAACCAGGATTTTACCCAAAGCGCCTTAGCCAAAGGTTTAAAACTCATTTCTACCCAAAATCGTAGGCAGTCATTATACGCGTGAAAGAATAAGGGAGTTGTTATAATTTCATACTTATTAAAATTTTTTTTCATCACACTTACTCGTAAGTAGTATGATTGCATGGTGGCTAACTTGACTCTAATGCCCCAAATAAAACCCTCGGGCCTTTTTCTTCCCATTACGTTACTTTTTTTTTTTATTTGTAACACGACATTCTTCCTCATATAGATCAGGTTCAAGTTCAAGTAAGGAGGTTACTTAAGTCCAAAATTAAAACATTCGCTTAAAATGTTATCTAAACAGAATTTAAATTGCAATTCAGCCACGTACTACTTAAATACTCACCATTAATAATTTCTTATAACAATTATTTTCTGTATAAAAACTTAGCAAAATTTTTTTTCAATCCATTGTAAAAAAAAACCAACCACTTTTGTTGTGTTGTGAAACCATATTCATTCTTATCACAAATAAACATTGTATTTATGTCCTCGCAAATGTGACCGAAAACATTGTATGTGTCACGGACGGTATACAAAACTCGAGTTATTAAAGCCCTCAGCCTCAGGCTTCGGGCTTCTAATAGACCCTCGTAAGTAATATCTTATTTACCGTCCTTAATACACAATGTACTATGTTAGACGAAAAAAAGGCAACTCCACACAATACCCACCTTACAGACATGTGGATTCTCATTTAGGGATGCTTTAAACTTCGATTTTTGTGAAAATCGATGCAAGCGTATACGATGGAAGAAGTTTTTATGTTCGGTCTTTGTATCATTGATATTACTGCCGTTCACTAATTAAAACGCGGCTAAATGATAAATGGTCAAATATCCGTTTTTAATAGCATAAGAGTACAAAATTTCCTTTTAAAAACAGTTAAAATTAGCTAACGTGTTCGTCTTATCGGAAGTCGGAACTTATCCTAACGATGCATAGCTCAAATATCATTAAACATTTCAATATTCTAAAACTGGGTTATGGTTTTTAATGATATCACAAAAAGTTATTTTTTAATACAGTTGCTCAAAACGTGGTATTTTTCGCACTACAAATCGTGCGGAAAGTTGGATTTCTCGCACTAGTGCTTTTTACTTTTCCAGTTTTTTTTTTATTTACTGTTGTTTTAAGTCTTAAACATAGAACTAAAGAGATTGTATATTTATTTCATATTTATGTGCTTTGTGACGTGAGTCATTCGTCATTAAAACTTATATTTATTTACAAATACTATATAATGAACGTATCGAGTGGAGGTCCACAGTCTCTGCCTACCCCTGAATGGGTGACAGGCGAGATTTTTATGTATATATTTGTTCTATGTATTACAGATAAATTGTATCTCACTACCGTGCACGGGTTCCTAAAGAAGTTTAAACAAAAGTACCAGGACTTCATAATAAGAAAAGTGGTTACAGACCGATATTACAGAAAATAAACAAAAACAGCACGTTGGAACTAGATTTCCATAGACTTTTAAATAATGGTTGCAGTGGTTGTATTTCATTATTTTAATTTACTAGCAGAAAATGAGTTTTTTTTAAATACTTTTTTATTTTACTTTCAATGTAGTTTTTTCGCAAATGTATTAAAAAACGTCGTTTGATACACGTGCGGATTTGTCATTTTCACTTGTCTCGAGTCTTGACCCTCGCCTCTGGCTCGGGCCAAGAAGCCTCGAGACTCGCGAATAATGACTAACTTTCCGCACTTGTATCAAAAATAACTATTGTCACTTAACCACGTTTTAATTTTGCGAACGGCATGTTAAGAGCGTTCGTTTTTATGTGATTTGTCATATTACAAACGTTCTTTTTTATCACACTACCTGTAGTGTGGATTGTCTATGATTTGTCTCGAGCGCATAAGTCACATGTGCGCCTGATGGTAAGCTACACGCCTGTCCATAACAGTTGCAGTGCCACTCAGAGCTTTAAATGGCAAGAGATCTGAGGGGCACTGCCACTGCGCCCGTCACCCTGAGACATAAGCTGACAAGTCCCATGTACCTGTAATTTCACCACCACCTTTACCCGCTCACGCGATGCGCTCATCCTGCCGCAAAATGGCGGCTATTTGGTTTCGCAAATTAGAAAAGGATTCAGTTTAAATACAAGTTTTTAAAAATAAAAATTATTATTCTGCATTTTAGCAATGCAGAATAATAATTTTTATTTTTAAATAAATACCCTCCGTACTACAACAAAAACATCTCAAATAAAATGCAGTAATACAACGCAAATCCTACACTTAAAAAGCACTAATCAAATTTTTTGTGTACTTGGGTAAATATGATAATATTCCGTTTGAGTGGTTCTAATGTTTACCATGAAATTACTCCTTAAAGTATAGTTTATAAACATTTATATTCAGGGTAAACTTAAAAAAGGCAACTTACGGTATGTTTTCAATAAATAAACACCGACATCACCAGCCCAAACAATAACACACATGATTGTCGTGACGTATTTTTGAAGTTGTTTATTTTTTTTTAAATGACAGACCCAGGCATTAAAAACTTTATGGTTTGCTAGAGTAGTTACCAAAATAGGTATTAGTATTAGTTCTTTTACCTGTTATAACTTCGATATCCGATAAATCAGTATAAAATCATCACCGGCACCTCTAGGTGTGGTATGCTTCCAGAGACGCATGAATCGTGTGAGCGGATATCCTTCCAAACAGAAACTCAGTAATACTCAAAATTACTGCTTGGCGGCAGAAATAGGTAAGGCGCTCTACTGCTACTAATTGTGCAGTCCTTTGCAATACTCAGAGCGGATGAAGGGATATATTTAACTCACAGGTTTAACTTAAAAAAGTTTATTTTTGCATTAAGTTGTAACTTTGCAACGCAGCAAATGCCAGTAAACTATAACCATCAATGCAATTTACTACAATTTTGTTTAAAATCTGGGCTAATTTAGTTAATGTACATTTTTTTTCACAGCTACCCTCAAAATGCTTTTCTTCTTTCAAATTTGGATTCCATTTTTTCCGCCAAATCTCCGTTACGGAACTCTTTTTTAATATTTTATCTTCTTGACTCTGTATCTGGCCGAGATTTCTGTTCTTCAGCATCATATATTCCGGTACCAACGTCTCAATTATGTGAAATATATAGGTCAGGTTTTCTACTTCTTCTATATTTATGATTTCATACAAATTCTCCGCGTTCATTAAATTCGTATGAACTGCTTCAAGTATTTGTGTTACTTTATCTATGGTATAATTCAACGTATGAATAGATCTGTTTAGTAAACATAGACGCTGGAAGTTTTCTTCTTTATTCATTAACTGAAAAATGTATTTAAATTACAAATCGTATCAAGACAGCGTAGTCGGGTATTTAGTACCTAGTCGTACACTAGATGTCGCGACGAGTCACAAATAGCTTTTTTTTTAAATATTAAGGCTTTGCCCTCGCATTTAGCCTATGAAAGGATTGGGAAAGAAGAATTACAGCTTAACGAAGAGGTACGAAATTTGGATGATAAAGGATATGGTCGGTTGGGTAGGTGGGTAGCTATTATATATCGGCATACATATTAATGTACATTACATACATTATGTATGTCGATATATAATAGCTAAAGTAAATACAACATTTGCAAACCGAAAATTCAGCAAACGATCGGCCCATTTGTACAATTTAATTAATAAGGCATTAGAAATATACGCCAAAAGTTATAGAGACTGCAAGAAAGTTATATCAAATAGCTACAATCGAAATCGTATGAGAAAACCGAAGATCTATTAGAATACTTGCTTTAAATACACTACTTTCCTAATCTGTGCAACAGGTTAACACACATACACACACACTTTTCATATACAAATGCACACACACTAACACAAACAAACGTTTTAAGATTCAAATTAAATTTAAAATTAGAAGTTAAGAATGTTGAAAATTGTTAAAAAAAGAAATCGTTTAAGAATGTTTGTTTGCGCGTGTGCGTGTGCGAGTACGAGTGCGGGTGCGGGTGCGGGTGCGGGTGCGGGTTCTGGTGCGGGTGCGTGTGCGTGTGCGTGTGTGCGTGTGCGTGTGTGTGTGTGTCTAATCATAGCAGACAAAAGAAATAAACACATTTAAATAATAAAATAATAAATAAGTAATATTTATTATATTTATTATTTATTATAAATAATAAATAAGTTTTGCCGAGTCCTGAATAATCACTTTAATAAGATACGAGTTTTGAGAATAAGGCATCGTTTTATTGAAACAGGTTAACGGGAATTGGGTGAAATCCAATAAACGGGATTCATCCCCTAATTTGCCACCCTTAGAGGTGGAATATTATTATCAATTAATACACTAGCAGCTCTATATGTACCCCCTTTCCAGCAAAAAAAGAATCGTCGAAATCAATTCACAAATGCTGAGAAATCACGTAACATATACACAACGAAAGGAAACTAATGCTTACGACGTTTTCACTGCAGCTATTGCCTTTGAAAATACCTTCAAGCAATCTTTCGATGGTCTGCAATATATCTTCTAGAAATGAAGGGTATTTTTCTTCTTCATGCAACTTGTCTATCAAATTACCTATTACCTGAAAATGTTGACTATTTTATAGAGAATGCTCTTCGTGTATTCAAATGTTTGAATATTGTGATAGCCAACTCAGAATTTAACTTTGTTTACCATCATATAAACTCAAATATGACTTATAATCGCCACATTGTCACTCATAAGGCAGATTTTCTTGAGAAGAAACTCCAGGACTTGCTTTCTGTATTTTTTTTATAAACCAAGTGACGGGACCAACAAGTCGTGTGCCTAATGTAAAGCAAGTTGCAGTGCCACTTAAGAGCTTTAAATCGCAAAGATCTGGGGGCACTGCCATTCCGCCTGTCACCCTGAGACACAACTTGACAAATCCCATGTGCCTGTAATTTCATCAGCATCTTTAAATCCGAAAAACAGTAATGCTCACATTACTGCTTGGCGGCAGAAATAGGCAGGCTGGCTGTAGTTCTCTGGACAAACTCTTTCATAAGAAGCTCTACTACAACTACGAGTGAAACCTACCACATAAAAATAGCAGTAGAGCTTGTAAAAGAGTTCGTCCAGGGAAGTACTGCCACCTTACCTATTTCTGCCGCCAAGCAGTAATGTCAGCTTTACTGTGTTCCGGTTTTGAAGGGTAAGGGTGCTGGTGAAATGACAGGCACTTGGGACTTGTCAACTTATGTCTCAGAGTGACAGTGCCCCTCAGATCTTTGCTCTTTAAAGCTCTGAGTGGCACTGCAAGTGTTATGGACAGGACTTACCATCAGGCGCACGACTTGTTCGTCCCGTCACTTTATATTATAAAAAAGTTACTAGTGACACACTCGTCACAGGTAAACTAGTGGATCCTGTACCTGTGATATTTCCTTAGTGATGTCATCGGTAGCAGCTACCAGCGGACATTGTGCTAAGTGAGCGAATAAACTGTATGCCGATTGGTTCAACCAGTTCTGTGACAATTGAACTGAAAGAAAAAATACCAGTAGGTACGTCATCAGTTTTGTTCACAGAACAATATAGTAGAAGTGGTTAGTTAGCGTCTGACGCGTGCCAACTATAGGTCTCGAAAGTCCTATCTGAGCTCAGTCCGCCATATTCACTTTGTATGGTACGGTTGTGTCATTCTTTCGTGCAAATCCTCTATAAAATGCCTTATTGTGCTGTTTTGGAGTGCAAGAATGATAGCCGCACCAAAAATATTGCCCGTGGCGGTATTTCATATCATCGGAAACTTTTATTTTAGTAAATTTTCATTTTACCGAAATAGTTTTTTTGTTAAAAGAACCGAAAGCAAAGCTTATACCTCTGCAATATGGTCGCTTCTTTTTTTGGAGAACTAAATCAATAACTCCAATTCGTCGTGGTTTAGCAATGAACCACTAGATGACATAGACATTGATTGAAATTTCAATATAATATCAAAACGTCGAAGCTTGCAATAATAGGTGTTGAAGATATTGAATTTTCAACGATATGCCAACAAGGTGAAGTTTAAATTATATTAAGAATCCAGAATTTGTTATTTCTTTTTAAATTTGAAACTACGACTAATCAATGTCAAGATTTTGTAGCGTTTCAAATTGAGAATGTGTGAGTTTTGGCGATTACGGCTCTGATAGTAATCGAAGCATAAATTGTTTTTTCTTCCATGATTTTGTTCATCGTCACCATTATGTTAGCCAACAAACTCATCGAGACCAATAATGCTATGAGCCAAAATATCACAGCATACGATAAATTTTCCTGTGAGTAGTTGGGCTGGGTAATCTGCAGACTGTCCTGGACCAAACCTGTTAATTTTCTTGAAATCTTGACCACTGGTCACGGTAATTTCATTAAAAAAAATTCATTACATGTTTAATCTATAATACATTCATAATATTTATAATATTTACATTTGTAATATCTGTTATTTTGCTAAAATCTAGTTAAGTAATGGCCATTGAGTCTCAATGTCAATAGAGCGTCTGTGGAATATTAAGACTATGGCTTTTGTTGACTCCACATAACAAAAAAATAATTGTGAAATAGAGCAGAGTCCCTGCCACTCGACCCAAGCAAAATGAACCGTATTAGTATGGGAAAAATTTGAATTGGAGCTGAGGTAGAATCGACTCTTAATAATTGGTAATAACAATAAATTGCTGATAAAACGAGATAAAAATTAGGATGTGCATAGTAATTTTCAGAGATGCGCCGAGTACAAGTTTTACCAAGTAACCGAGTACCGAATATTACTCGGTTTAACATTTGCCTAGCCGAGTACTCGGCCGAGTTACTCGGTTCATTACAACCGGAACGCGATTATCCTAAAAGTCCCATTGCTCTAGAATTAGACCGATATTTCAATGAAGGTTTATTGTCGCGAGAGCAGAGTCCTTTCCAATGGTGGGCAGGGATAAAACAAGATATCCAAAGCGAAGCGGGTGATATGTATGAAGAAAAAAGGAACAGACTATTACCTGAACGCAGAAAACCTTGTATTCCTACATCATAACTTGCCTTTGTCAAATTTTTAATATTAATAATGTAAACTTTTTTATTAAATTACTAAATTGTTACAAGTTACAATTGTCTAGAATTTATAGTAATAAATCTCTTTTGAATATTTTAAATACACTGTTGGTGCTACTTTATTATGTCTATAACTGTAATGCTTTATATTAACCGAGTACTCTTCTCATGAACCGAGTTATTCGGCCGAGTACGTGTAGTAAAAAAACGGCCGGGTGTACCGAGTACAGAGTAGCAAACGAGTACTCGGTGCATCTCTCTAGTAATTTTCATGGTAGTTTTAGTAAGGCAACATCGATCGCTAGTGATTGAATGTTTTTTTTATATAATCTCAAGTGACAGGACGAACATGTCGTGCGCCTGATGGTAAGCTACACGCCTGTCCATAACAATTGCAGTGCCACTCAGAGCTTTAATCGCAAAGATCTGAGGGACTGCCACAGCGCCTGTCACCCTGAGACATAAATTGACAAGTCCCATGTGCCTGTAATTTCACCAGCACCCTACCCTTCAAAACCGAAACACAGCCATTGCAACTAGATTTTAGCAGAATAACAAATATTATCATGTTTTGCAATACAATCTCAATGGAATCCTAATGGAATTACAATGACCAAGAAAATTACCAGAATTGGGACCCAGATGTTCATCAAGCTTAGAACCATCCCGATTAAATTAACCATCAAATAAAAATGGCTTTGAGAGCAGTACATTCGTTTGTGAGCTATAGCGCCTCAAACAGACAAAGGCTTGAAACTTATTAACTCCCCTCTTTTTAGTCAGGGGTAAAAAAAAATTTTATACATCTCATACTGGAAAGAGCACTACTGTCTTACCGCTTTTGAATGAACTTCGACTATGCGAGTCACTCCTGTACCCCGAATCTGTGAGGTAGCCATCTTCTTTTTTATCAAGTCGTTTGTTCAAGTAATTCTTTACTTTGTTCAATTCTTCTACCACTTTGAAAGGTATTAATTCTTTTTCTGAATCTTTATGTACTACTAGAATATTATTATGTTTCTTATCTATATTGCCATCTTGAATTTCCGTAATACCTGTTTTATTTTTTTCTATTTCCTGTTCTCGTATGGTATCGTTCGTATTAGAATCTTGTGAATTTTCAATTAAAGTCCATTCATATGAATTCTGTTTGTTCGTTGGAAAGTTCTGTAATAATTTATATCTTTTACCTTTCCTGTCAATGACGTAATCGATTTCAGTACATTGCATTTGTGTTATTTCCATTTTGTTTACATTTTGTACTGGTATCTCTTCATTCTGAAAATTATTTTCTTTTTGTACTTGCATCTCCCCATTTTGAACGTTATTTCCATTTTGTACTTGTATGTCGACTTCTTGTTCACTGTTTTTATTTTCTACAATATCTTGTAATCCGTTTATATCGTCTTCTATATTTTGCCCATTTTCTATTATACTTTGTCTGTCTTGTACATTCATTTCAAAATCTTTCTCATTGGCTATATTTTCTTGACAAATACTTTGTAAATTACCGCCATGTTTATTCGAAATAAGTTTATTTCCATACACGAAATTTTGTCTTATTTCAATATTATCAAACTGTGACTGGCTAATATGCGTATCGCTATCTGTTATATCATATAAAGTGTAAATAATAGTTTTTTGAGTATCTGTTACGTTTTTTTCACAATTAATTGTATTATCATTGTTTTTTTCTTTTGTATTGATGTTCATATTTGTAAATTTAGCTATTTTTACGTCATCATAATATGTATGTTGATTGTCATTTTCAAAACGTTCGTTACTTGAGTCTTTTATAATATTTTTTCTCACTTTAGATAAAAGTTTTTCATTAACGTCCTTGGTGTAAAATGGTACAGTTTCATTCATAGTAATCTCATTTCCGTCAGAGTTCATATTATTCGCATCGTTATTATTAAAAATGTTATTCCTTAAATTATTATCACTATTACGGCAATTTTTGCCTTCGTTTCTATTGTTTCTTGTATTTTGTATTTGTTTGCTTATATTTTTAGCAACTTTGTGAGCCATTTCGGAGTTCTTTAATTTATTTGTCATAGTGTTGTCCTGTAAGTCATCTGTGTGATTGAAATAAGGAATTTCTTTATGAATTACATTAGATTTTTGTAGAGTACAGGCAGAGTTATTGTCATTATTTGGTGCATTGAACTCTAATTCTTCACAATAAGTACTTTCGGTACAATTATGTGTTGATAGAAGGCTTGGATCCTGAAATTATGATTATTACATACTAAAATTCAATACGCATATTTTATAAACAAAAATTTACGCTGACGGCGGTATCGTGCGGTTTAGAGAATTTACCAAGATGAATAAGATGCTTCAACCATATTAATTGTCCATCTGTATAAATATTGTTTCTGTTATTTCATATCGTTTGAATTTGACTTTGTAAGCACTATATTGGGTATCGTGCGGCTATGCGACACGGAGGGAATAAACAACATCACGTACTGCTCTGATCCCAAAGTAAGTAACTAAATAAAGCACTTGTGTTATGGAAAGTGGAAATAACGACGGCACCACAAACATCCAGACGCGAGACAATATAGAAAAATTAGTTTTCTTCAAGGATCGAACTCGGGACCTTAGAGATAGCGACAACATGAAAACCGGTGTGCATGCCACTCGACCACTGAACGGAGTAAAATGACATGTGTAGGGTTGCCGGTTTTCATAAAATTTTAAATAGTCATGTCGTTGTTGTCGACAGTTTGTATTTGTGTACAGTAGCATTGGTTTTGTATGTGTGTCAATTGTTAAGAGGCAAGACATGCTATGCAGAGGTTTTGAGTCGTGTGGGTCTTTGCGTTCCCGATGGGTATGTGGAGTGGCGGCGCTTCAGTTGTTGACGATTCCTCGTGGGAGAATCAATCTGCTGGACAGGTGACACGAGGGATGAGGACTTTGAACGTTATTGATGGGAACATTGATCTATTTGCCTGTTATCTGTGTGATTTCAATAAAATAGCTTTATTTATAATGTGTTATGGAATATAATGACAGTTTGTTACGTAATATGGTATAATATAATTTTAGTCGATACAATTTTGAATATAACATTAATGTTGTTCAACACCAAATGACAATTCTCTTCAACACCAACAACCTAATGAAATTAGTCCTGTAATAATAGTTGATAGATTATGTACGTAAAATAAATAAAGTTTTATCGATAGATCGTGATAGAAGGTAAAATTTTGACAAAAATGTCTGAATTGTGAATGTAACGACGTTCTAATTATTGCTAATTACGTTATTGCCTTCTTTATTCTTATTATGACAGTTGGCCTACTATAATTCTATTTTGATTATCTATAATGAATTAAAATGAAAAACTTTAAAATATGTCTCCTCTTTGTATTTTTAAAAGATATAGTTCTTCTAAATGTAGTGTATGTATGTATGAACTAACAAAAAATGACAATTCAGATGAACCTGTGCCCAGCAGTTGCACGAATAATGGGCCGATGCTAATTCTAATGAAACAAGCTCGGCTATTTATTGCATAACCGTAACCAACATTCACTTGATAGTCGATAGAATATTTACCGCTGCAATCACTAACTGCTTTGAAGCGCAACACTGTTGCGCGATGAACTGACATTGTACTCCATCTTCAAAATAGACAGGCTACTTATGGGTAAAAGGCATTGACTTACAATTATATGGAACGTCGGGTCCGCGCTAAAAAGTGTCCGCACTTGTAAGGCGCTAAAATCGTATACAGAGCGCGACACTCCGCTTTAGTCTTCATTTGTTCTACTGACAGCGCGATACTACGATGACATTACAGTTTAAATTTCGAATAGGTTGACTTGGGACATTTTTTTCGTGGTTTTTGTATTAGACCCGTCGTCCACTTATTTGTAAGTCAATGGTAAAAGGGAAAGTAGTTTAAATTTTGTATATAAGAGATTTTGCTTCTTGGAGACATTGCTTTTTATTTAAAGTAAGTAATAAATACTACATCCAAAGATTTTTTTAAGTACTTGCCTCACCTGGGAATTGAACCAACCGAATGTGAAAAAAATCACCTATATTTTTATGACGTCAACCGAATGGATAAAAAATAAGGGTTAAATTTCTTTTAACTTAGTATCTTTAATTAAAAGAACACCATGAAGTTTTACATTTAAGTTCAGGAAATTAATGCGTTTTACTGCTGACATTCTTACATCAAGATGGAACTTCTGTCGTATAACATACATATCGCACCCTTAGTAATATAAGGGCACAATCCAAAAAAAGTAGATTTTTGGGAAATTTGGGAATTGATAGGGACTTAAATAATAAATGGGATCAAACTTATATAGCTCCATATTTCTGTTATATTTTTTGTACTATATGGGTCTAACTTGAAAGTGTATTTTTAACTTGCTTGAAACTTATGGAATTTATTTATATTTTTTTTTTTATTGCTATTTATAATACATTTATCAAAGAACAAATCTGCCAAATTTCATATTTACAACTTAAATAATAAGCATATTATTTGAAAAAATAGGTGTAATGTAGGAATCCAGAATCTTAATACGCGATTTCCCAAAAATCTACTTTTTTTGGATTGTGCCCTTATATTACTAAGGGTGCGATATAATCAGTGGTCGCAATAGGGTGTTTCAAATGAGTGGATACATTTCTACAAGTAATGACATAGTGGTTATAATCTCAGTACAGAGTACTAAAAACACCAACCTCAACAGGACGGGGAATTGCATCTAAGTATTTCCCAGGTTTTATTGAAATCGGAAAGTGTCCTAAACCGGATTCGTCCCCTAGTTTGCCACCCTTAAAGGTGAAATATTTTCTTCAAATTTAAATGGAACTACTGAGGTATCCTCTTTTAAAGTAAATAATCTCAGTACAGAGTACTAAAAAAAACCGACCTCAAATGTACGTGGAATACAATTACCAAGTTTTGAAATCTTAAAATTAAAATCGGTTAACGGAAAGCGCGCCAACCCGGATTCATCCCTTAGTTCGCCACTATACGGCACTTGACACAGAAGATAATAAAAATCGGTTCTCACTACTCAAAGTATATTGAGAGAGAAAAACGCCTTGAATTGGAGAATAGCAAAATCAACCATTAAAATAATTCTGCCCTCCTAACTAAGAGTGCAGCAACTAAGTGAAACCTGTTTTCGAGAAAAACGTGGCTAAGGAAAATAATTTAAACTAACCTAACCTAACCATAACGGCAGTAAGTACCTAAGATACTGCACTTATTATTAGATAAATATCGTACTGTTAATTAATCTAGAAACTACATATTCAAAAACAAATTAATAATAATATATACCTATAATAAATAAGTGCAATATCTATTAAGCTTCTGCAGTTTTTGCTAAAAATACACTTCATATTGATGCTATTTTCTAATGTTTTATACAGTCGAAACTTATAATTTGTTAGTATTTTCTTACTAAACATCGACGTAAAGAGGCAGCATGCTGCATTTGCTTGAGGTTTTTGAGACTATCGCTCGCCTAATTCCGTCCCTTCACTTTTTACTTTCCTCTTTAAACTTCCTTCCCTTCTGTAGTGTTAGCAACGACTGAGTAATGCCACTGGTATTACAAGCGTACATGATAGGCTACGGTACGGTACAGTGTTTGTTGTATACACAGCTGTTTGTTCAAGAAATAAATGATTTCTATTTTTTGTCTATTTCCCAAGTCGGACAAAGAGTTAATTGGATTGGGAATATAAAGAGATGAGAAAATATAGTATTTTATATAGATATATTAATTTCGTACATTTATAAAATTAGAAGAAAGAAAATTCCTGTATTGTTTATTTGTTCAAATCCCAGATATATGAACCCTTCTTAATCACATTTCGATTGACAATAAATAATATTAAAAAAATCAAACCTTGTCTTTTATTGAAGTTAGTTAAAGTTCGATCTCCTTATTACAATTACTTAGTTGAGGAATTATAATTTGAGGTCACGTATCTTTATTAAAGAACTATATTATTTTATTATTAATGCTATGACAACTGCTATAACAATCATTCAGTCTTCTCTGATTAATTATTTTACTTGAGACCAACTTTATATGTCAAAAATACACTTTTTCACAAGTATTTATAAATATTACGCATTACGCACAGGAAGCGGACGACACACAGGAGTATTTCACCTCAAAAGTTGCTCAAAATGATTTTGTGATTTTTATCGATTTGACATGTAAGTAATAAAAAGCAGTTTAAAGTCATTATATCGTATTCAAAACACATATTTCTCGTTCTATAGAAAATTAATTGCAAAAAATATAATACTAATGAGATTCATAAGACCCATCGTCATCTTCATTATACCTAAGATGATGTATCGTCCGATGCTTCCGGCAGCAGAAGTTCCTATGTCTCACTGAAGAAAAATTTACTTTTTTTCTGTGTCATTTGCATTGTACTGCTCAAAAAAGGATCAGAATTTAACAAAAGTCTGTGTAAAATGTAAATGCGGGACTTTTTTATTTAAAAACATTATCAAGAACAACTAAGTTTTAAGTTACACACAAAGACTTAATTGGTATATAGAACCATATGTGAATATAGTGACTACAAAAAATTTCGTTATTTTTTATTGTGGGATGTGTACGGTAAGAAGTATCACTTTATCAAGTGCAATCCGGAAAATATAATTTTAAATTAAAGTACGTACGTTCCTCTTCAATATTCATCAATAGGTATTACAAAACTTTCACCACACATAAACACAGAATTGGGTTGAAAGATTATGTTTAAACAGCAGCGCTGAAATTCCCGTTTAGTGGTGTAACGGTTACTAGCTTTAGCGAAGCCGTTTTATACATGAATTTAACAAAATTTTTGAAATCGACTTTTGATCGATTTTTGCTTAGAAATACACAGAGAAATATTCATCTCAGTCTCAACACTAATTTTTGCCATTAGCTGAGAGACGTCTTCTCACCAATTATAACTGCAGTATCCTATACAAGTTATTGCAGTTTTATTAGAATTGCAACTACAAAACGTTATTGTCTTCCTTATAATAACTGCAGTATCTAATAGATATAATACATAATAAGCTCCAAGATGGTAGATTTTGTGAAACATACATAAAATAAGTGCAGCAACTATTAAATATTGCGTTTATTGCTAGAATTCCATCGCCATTGACTCAAATTTGACTCAAAAATTATATAGTAACTAATCTTACTGCACTTTAAATTAGCAAATGTTATATATTGTACTAAGTTACTGCAGTTTCACTTCCTGTATTACAGGGTTCTCATGGGAATTTTGATACGTGAATTAGAGCCAAATATAGATCTAGTTTTGGGGTTAACGTTTATGTATTTAACTCAATTTCGTCAAAAATGCTAGTTACTGCACTTTCCATTAGGACGGGAGAATTTCTCCTTATAATAAAATTTAGGCGCTATTTATAAAAATAAATCTTTAAGCGTGTCCAGCCATCCTTAGAAGTGGATGATTTTCTTCAACATTAAATGGGACCTCTTTCCAACAAAAAGAAGAATCATGAAAATCGGTTCACAAATACCGGAGTTATCGCGTAACATACATACAAAATAAAACATAGTCGAATTGAGAACCTCCTCCTTTTTTTGAAGTCGGTTAAATAAACCAAATATTAATTAATTACTTTTCCAATTTCAAATTTACGGAAATAGTTTTACTACATCATAAGATAAAACTACTTACCTAGGAAGCTGAAGTTGGATTTTGAAGTAAGTGTAAAAAGTGTATTAGGTAACAAAATCTTTTATTTTTAAGAGCTACAAGCAAAAGCTTGTTTTAACTAATAGGCCATTAGAATTGCTTTAAAATCCAATTTCAGTTTCCTAGATGCATAGTTTTATCTTACGTAATTAATATTTGGTGCACGGTAAAAACAGATTACTTAGAAAAAGACAAAATTCTTTTTAGAAAGACCATTGACTTACAATTATATGGACGTCGGGTCCGCGCTAAAAAGTGTCCGAACTTATAGGGCGTTAAAATCGTATACAGAGCGTCATTCACGCTTTAGTCTTCGTTTGCTCGACTGACAGCGAAGCAAGCAAAATTAGGCAGTACTGCGATGACATTACAATTTAAATTCAACGTTTTAGCTTTCTCATATTCCTTTCATTGTCACTACGTTTAAATAGGTCGACTTGGGACATTTTTTTCGTGGTTTTTGTATTAGACCCGTCGTCCATTTATTTGTAAGTCAATGATAAAGACAAATATATTAAATCCAAGAAAACAATCCTCTCCCTATAGACGCTAGAGAATAATTACTTGATAATAGTAAAAATAGTCTCAAAAGTGTATTTTAGTTATAAGACAGAATTAATCCAAGACCAATTTAATTTACTTAAGTCATAAAGCTACTCTAGATTCAAAAAAACGTTTATTAGTTATTAGAAATTTCTGATTTTGACTTGAAAAAAAAAGAATGAAAAATTGAGAGATACTTAATTATTTGACTGAAGATTTATGTTTTCTATATTTAAGTGTGTAACGCTGGTCAAGGAAGGGGTTCCGTAGTACGACGAATTAAGACGCAGACTACAGTGGTAGAAAGGCGTATATCATCAAAAATATAAAAAGGGTAAATTTAGGGTTATGGACTCAACTATACGTCTCGTTAGGGTGACAGCACACAGCTTAGTGCCAAACCTTAAAGTAGCAGGAATGGGACTGAATCGTCTCTAACACTTGAGTGCTGTTCAGTGTGATATAAATGCTACAGCGGTAGAAATCATTAACAATTTTAATCATTTGAGATGACTTATACAATTGAAGTTCACAAAACGATAGCGCGTTTCAGAGTACAACTAGTGCCATCTAGCAGTGGCGCGATGGAACTAATTGCATGTTAAAGTTGTGCTTGTTACAAGACAAGTGTAGTTTGATTTCATGCTGAAACCAAATTTCTTAAATTATGACTACAAAGAACACACTAACAAACTAGAAAGAGATACTACGTATTGTTTCTTTCGAAAAATGACTGTCTAGGATTTTTATGATTACAAGCACAAGTAAAAGTAATCGTTACCGCGTGCGCCTTCGGCGACATGTCACGACAACATTGACTACGAAAACGCAACGAAATGTTGCTTTAAAAAATATACTCAAGAATTTAGAATATTAATCTAAATAGCAAAATACTTCTTTTTTTGTCTAAGAATATATTTTCTTAAAATAGACCCAAGAAATTTTGAATTCATTTAAGATTGTTTAAATTTGATGTAAGTAAAAATTTCTTGCTGTAAGTAATGTCCAATTAATTGATTAGAAATGATATAAAATTCTTGGAAGTGTATTTGTCTAAAAGTTAGAATAAAGTTAAGAGTAAAATTGTTTTAGAAAAAGATAAGCAGTATTTTTGTAACGACAATATTTTATTACTTTTAATAAATATTCTTTCAGAATTAGCAAATATTTTGAGAAATTGCTCTTTTATATTAATAGAATTCCTTTTTTTCTATGTGGTTTTGACCACTCCATATAACTGCTTGTGTCTATGTGTAGACATTAATCTATTCATTTAAAACACCCTATTCCGACCATTTCATATTTTTTGAGACACCAAATGACGGGACAAAGAAGTTGTGTTGGTTTGTTGGTTGGTTGGTGGTAAGCGACACGCCTGTGCATAACAGTTGCAATGCCACTCAGAGCTTTAAATGACAAAGATTTGCGGGGCACTGCCACTGCGCCTGTCACCTAGCAACATAATTGACACTTGGCAGCAGAAATAGATAACGTGGCAATACTTCCCTGACATTAAATGTTTCACAAAGAACCCTGTATCGCGGGTGCTATGGACACACACAAATACAACCACAAATGACACCCAAACTCACGACAGAAATAAATGTAGTCCATATGAATATTTCTCCCGGCCAGGGAATCGAACTTGGAACCTCTGCGTGGCAGTCCGGCGTGGTAATCGTTCGGCCACGGAGCCAGTTGAATTATTATTTTCAAAAGTAACGTATTTTAAATTATCGTTCTATTCATTAAATCGAATCTTACCTGTTGCTTTTTATGTCGTAATACATCCAAAACATTTGAAATCTCGTCACAACCTAACAAGCAGTCATTTGTTTTCTGCACGCCAAGATCACCCAAAACTGACGCACAATCATTACTTTCATTACGCGAATTATCATTTTCATTAGCACCATTAAGGCTTTGATTGAATTCAATAAGAACTTCTTCGTCGAAGTTGAAATCGTTGCTATTGATACTGATTGCATCTACATCCATTGTTTCAATTAATTTGTTTTTTAGCACGTCCACATATTGGTTTACTGTTAATTCTGTAGGTTTACTTTTTAGAATAGCAATGGCGACGGCTACGCGGTATTTTTGAGACACATAATGTACTGGAAAAAAAACAGGAATAACTCGGCGCCCATTGATTTGGAAAAATAATAACCACATTTTGATACTTCACATAACACGACTTACCGTAATCGTTTGTACTCATTTTCCGCACAAATTTTGTAGAAAATCGTGAACATAATAATAAAACCTGAAATTTAACTCAAATTAACAGTTTTGTTTAACCAAAACTTGATAAAAATCATAATTGTTTTGGCGCCATGAACTTTTTTTTCTTCGTTCCGTTTGAAACAGGCGAAGGTCAAAGACCATACTGCCTAGTCATTAGTTTCTCTTTTTCTTCAGTAACGCCATGAACTTTATTAGCTGAAGGTTTTGTAATGCACGGATTTTAATAGGTATCTGTGAAAAATAGCTATTACTTAAATTTTCTTAAATTAAATTAAAATTCAAAGACGTATTCAGCCAAACTAAGCAGTCTCCTTAGTGTCATAATTTTTAAATTGACAATGTCAAATTGTGTTTGTGATTTTTCTTGCATTTTTCATTGAATTTCCTTTGAAAAAATAAAGCTTTCTTTAATATTCCACCGAAAATAAAAATTTATGTATTTACTTTGACCAAAATGTCTTCCAATTTTTCAAACAAGCGATATGGCACTGTATGTAATATTATTCGGCCTAAGCATATTTATGATAGCGCTAGTATTGGCTATTATAAAAAAAATGTTCTTCTGTTGGCAAGAAGAGCACAAAATAGAAAGAATGATGCTAACTACAGTGGACAGACCTGGTAAGATTTCCAGCTAACTAAGATAAGCCCCTTACAGGCGCGTGGCCTTGTTAATCATAGTAATACATACCCACCTACTGCTTATTCATAAAATACCTAGTACCTGAGCCTAGTACTTAAATATCGTTAAATACTTAGAACAATAACGCATAGAAACCTAGTCCGCACACGCTAAGTGAGGCAAATTGAAGCGCGCCCAAAGGGTTTACACGAGCGGGCGGGCCTTCAGTGCTCAAGGTCAACTTGCACCGTGAACAGATCAAGAATTTTAGCTAAAAAGACGAAATGTGCGGTAAATGAGTGTAAAAATACGTCAGACAAACATAAAATAGATACTAACATCACATTCCACAAGGAAGTAACGCGTTTCAACTTGTATTTTTATATAAATATTCACTAAAACCGAAAATTAACCTACTACTAAAACTAGCCTACATGAATTTGATTTTTGCCTCACTTGTAACAGTTCGTTTGATATGAAACTATCATTCTATGCGTTATTATTCTAAGGTTAAATACTATAAGTCTGTCTTGAAGACGGAGTTAAATGACAGTTCATTGCACAAAAGTGTTGCCCGCTTGCAAGCAGCTAGTGATTACAGTCGATTAATATTCTATCGACTATCGAACGTTGGTTACGCTTCTGAAATAAAAGTTGAAATGTTTCATATGATTCATCATCGGCCCATTATACATCCTACTGCTGGGCACAGGCACATTTGAATGGTTGATTTTTTTTAAATTCATTCATACATACTCTGAATTTTGAAGTACATGTATTAAAAATACAAATAGGAGAAAGATTTAACGCTTTACATTTGAATTTAATATACATAACCAAATCCGCCTATCGATATTAAAATGTGTATGTATAAAATCGATTTTTATACTAACAGACCAATTGTCAAAATAAGAATAAAGAATACAATAATGCAATTGGTAATCATTAGAACGTCGTAACATTCACAATTCATGTCGTCGGTTTTTGGCAAAATATCTCCTAAATTCACAATCTATCGATAAAACTGTCGACAACTACTACATGACTATTTAAAATTTTACGAAAACTGGTAAACCTGCAAATGTCATTTTACTCTATCTTCAAAAAAGACAGACTATAACCACCTCGCAGGACTATATTGCTAACACCAGAAACTACAACTTTTGTTCTATAACTTTTTAATTCACCAGATTTAACTTTCGTACAAAAACAAACATATTACAATAGATCGCTCTAAGCTGCGACAACTCTGTGCGGTAACAAAAGAAATGGCTCAATTTTACTATTCCTTTTTACAAGGCATTTGAGGTAGTATAGACTCTTAACTTTCATAACCGGAGCGCAGTAATGCTGACATTGCTCGGCAGCAATAAGTAAGGTGGTAGTACTTACCTGGAAGAAACCCTTTCACAAGAGGCTACTAAACTACAGTGTCCCAATGTAACATCCATTTAACTTTTTTTTTATTTCCTCAGCTGTCTGCGTAATGATATGTATGGAAAAGTGCGTAATACGACAGCGGAAATATGCGGACAACATAAGCATATTCGATGTCATTGATAAAAGTGATATTAGTCTACAGAAGAACAGATTTAAAACATCAATTGGGTCCTATGTAGAACATACCATTTATGTGAATAAAGACAAACACACTTCAACAACTTAGGGTGAGACCAGACGAGCGTAATTTTATGAATCGTGAGTCGCGTTTTTTGAATCCCGTAGTTTACTTTCGACTATAATTCGGTTGAGGCGCCAAATGAACCTACAGTAGCTGCTTATCCAGTGGCGTGTGAGTGATACTCGAATGCAGTAATACAAAATAATACGTACCTAAAGTCTACTTTCTTAGACATACCACAAAATTAATAGTACCTCGATAGATTACGAAATATTTAACCACGCAGGTGGTCCGGCCGCAAAGCAGTACTCTCCCACCGCGCCACCTTGGATTTAGAAAAACGTGATACACTTTCATGAAAGCAATATTCCCAAAAAAAATCCCCGAAGGGTACTTTTCATATAGCAAGTGTAGTTCCACTAATCGGGTTATATTCAGTTGCCCTTTGCCTTTGGTACAGACCGGATGCCATCAGACGACTTGGAAGTATATGGAGGGAGTTGCTATTATATTTTTTATTTATAGCTATGTCAGATGAAGAAATGCGTTCAGATACGGACTGAATTTAAATGATTAATACTCATTTTTAGTATATAAAAGAAGCAGATTTTATTTACTTTATATTTTTGTTTTTTATTGTATTTATTACATTTAAAAGTATGATGTTTGCCGAGGGACATTGAGAAAATAGAAGCACTATACAATAGATGACACAAATGCTTAGAGGCAACTAAAATACGTTCATGTCGCGCCCCAACCGAATTACAGTCGAATCTAAACTGCACGACTCAAAAAACGCGACTCACAACTCACAAGATGACGCTCGTCTGGCCTCACCCTTTGTACGGTCTGTCTGTACAATTTAGTCAGGAGAAGTCGTCTGCTCGCGTCGGAGGTTTAGACAGGACTGCCCTCGTTGTCTTTTGTCCAAAGAAAGTCGGTCTAATTTCGAATCCTGTCAGTCTAGTAAGTCTGTCTTTGTGGCCTGTCAGTCGGGTCATCCATGGAAGCTGGACGTTGGTCATCCATGGAGGCTGGACGCGACACTCTTGAAGAATGACAAATATAGATTTGGAACATGGCGATGTTGAGGATTAATTTTTTTTTTCTACAGATGTAATTAATATGCTGCCACTGAAATGGGACTTCTTAAACCAAAAATTGAGTAACACACTTCACACATCGGCACATTTAACAATACTGTGATAAGAAAAACAGTATGCAGTGTTTTTCCAAAAGACTGGCCGTTTATATACTTTATTATTATTAGATATAATTTGAGAATAAAAAATAGTTGACAGTCATTTTTTTATTAATTTGTTTTAATTTCCTATTGTTAGAAAGAGGGTACCTCAGTAGTTGTCCCATTCTAATTTGAAGAAAATATTCCGCCTCTAAGAGCGACACACGCGCGCGATTTTAATCAGCGACGCAAGCGCGCGACTGCATCGATACAAACGCGCGATTGCATCGCTACAAATAGTGGCGTGACTAGGAGGTTTAGATTAGGGCGAGCCAAACAAGTAGGGTAAAATCCATCTTGTCGTTGACGCGTCGTTACTCTTCAATCTCTAGTTTCAGACGCACTTGCTTGTCGCGGACGAGCTCAACATTTGTCACAAAATTTCGGTTTATTGTTTTTCACCCACTTTCCGTTAATCGATTTGAATAAAATTTTGCAAATAGGTAGATGTAATTTCACAAACTTTTGACGTTGGTTTTTTGTTATAAAAAAGTTATATAATCTCCTTTGTTTTTATTCCGCTATATTGCCGCTATGTATGTGTATGTTTTTATAAGACTTTTGTGGTTTTTTTGCTCGTAATTTTAATTTATAATCACACGACGATCCCGGATCAGTGCCAAGAAACATGGCAAATAGACTTTGTGATAATGTAAAACTCTTAATTGTGTAATAAAATTATTGAATTTATGTTACTATGGTGTATTTTTCTTCTAACCTTTGCGGATTTAAACGTTAATAAAAGCTTGTGCGCCTGGTATTAAGCGACACGTTTGTCCATAGTATAGGTACTACCATGGCACCCGTCGCCCTGGGACATGAGTTGACAGTTTCCCCGTGCCTGTAATTTCACCAGCACCCTCCGACAGCTTGGCGGTAGATATAGTTAAGGTGGCAGCAGGTACTTGCCTGGACGAGTTCTTTCTTACTAAAGCTTTGAATCAGCAATGTTCAAATCTCAGTCTATATATCTATGTTATAGAATTCGTACCAACCATATTAGTACACAGTAGTCTAGTGCCATTACCTATATTTAAAAAAATATAATGACAAACTGCATTTTTTTAAATTACTTTACGGCTGGAGGCACATATAGTCAATTTTCAAAAAGTTAAAAAGGAAGCTTATTTAAGTACAACAACACAATAAAATAATTTCAGAATTTTTTAACAAGTCATAATAATAACGCACACACATAGCACGAGCGAAACCCTATATCGCGGATGCCATGGGCGCACACATAGACAACCATAAATTACACCCAAACTGACGAGAGAAATAAATTTAGACCATACAAATATTTCTCCCGGCCCGGGAATCGAACCTGGGATCTCTGCGCGGCAGTCCAGCGTGGTAACCGTTCGGATACAGAGGCAGTTTAAATAATCATATTATGTATAATTGATGGTGATATTTATCTAACCAACCAAATCTTGCCAAAACTTGGAGTTTTGCCCAAAACTGAGGAAGAAAACATGTAAATAGAGATGTTAGTGGCATTACGTTTAATGAGGACTGGCTTCCTATTTCAATTGTGTTTTTAAAAAACAAAACTAAGCCATCTAAATGAAAATATTTACCCAGTTGACAAGTTCAATACAGTCGGTGTTATTATTATAAATAAACAGTTCTTGAGCCAAAAATAATTTAGCTACAGGATCAAAATAATTTTCTTTTTTACGATTTCAAGCGATGGGATGAACTAGATGACTGATTCATGCGCATGAGCGCATGGTGGTAAGCGACATGCCTGTCCATGACAGCAGCAGGAGCACTGCCACTGCCCCCGTCATCACGTGACATAAGTTGACAAGTCCCATGTGTCTATAATTTCACAGCATCTTTACCCGAATGGAACGCAATAACGTCACATTACTGCTTGGCGGCAGAAATAGGTCAGGTGGCATTACTTCCCTGGACGAACTGTCACGAGGATCTAGAAATTAAATTGAACGACCAATTAAAAAATGTACAATGTGACAATAAATTATTAAAGCCTTAGAGCAATTTCTCCTAAATGTAAGTTTTAATCTTAGGAAATGATAATCTTAATTATATGCTTCGGTATCTTACTGTAAAAACGTATACAGTTCCCCATAAAATAATTACCTTAGTTATCCCCAATCCCGCCGAAGTATATATGGTGCTTTACTTAAACATGCTCAGAATGCTAAAGTAATACATACTTTAAAAAAACCCACAAATTTTGTCATTTATTATTTATTTGTCATTATTCAAACACAGTTAAAAAAAGAGGAAAGAATAGTTTTTAGATATTGGAAGAATATTTCAGTGATTACTTCTTCCATATTATAAAATTAATAAATTAATAATTAGATTAAAGATTAGCATTAGATTAAAATAAGTTCGATCTGTCTCTGTTTCCCGACACCCTTCAGGGTTTCATATTGTTTGATGTTTACATAAAAAAATCATTCAATCGAATTTAATTTAGTCTGGTTTCCATTAGAAACCGCAGCGGCGGCGGCGAGGGTTGCCGCAATCCTCTACATGCAGACGGACGTCGCGCGCGTTTTTGTGTAAGATTAATATTTTTACAACCAGAATTTATTAAGAATTTAGATATTGACGAACTTATCTCACATATCCGTGAAAGACCGGTCTTTCGGTCTTTTAATTGTTCTAATGACTTATCCCAGTTGAATATTTGCCACCAAAACTACAATTTTCGCGTGGACAAAGTTTGATCAAGTACCCAGTCTCCCACATACTGGTAATTGCAATACTTTCAATGATTTTAGTTAGTTCTTCTAATAGTGAATAACATACATGGAATTGTTTTTCTTAAAAGCGTACACATTTTACCAGAACGACTATTTTATACAATGAAGTAGAAAGTGGACACACCAGCAAAATTGAAAATCGGAACATTAATATTTTTGATTAATTATTATTGCACAATAAATATTCCGAAATGTTTGCCCTAAACTCATTTTACGTCTAATTAAACTATAAAAAATAAATCATTAATATTTCTTCACTTTACACCTGGTTTCTCAGCCTGGACTCGCAAAATTTACGAATGAGATATTCACCCAAGTATTAATAAAAATTCGTCGCTGCAGCATTACGGGATGTGGCATTTGAAAAAGTGAAGATCGATCGAATGTAACATCGTACAGGCACTTGTTATTTTTCTGTCTATAAATAATACAAAAGACCAAATATCTCATGTAATAGACATATTTAAGAAGTTTATTCATAAATCTTGCCAAATTATGCTTTGGTTTCTTCAGATTGCCTGTTTGTTTGCATATTTTGATGATTGTTGTTAACGATTATTTTGAGATAAGTGTTGTTTTTGGAAGCGTGCATATTATCGATATTGTGTTATTAAAATAATTCACTACGAGGTTTTTATTATTTTATTATTATTATTATTTTTACTATTTCAAGTTTACCTACAAATCAAAAAGAAAATAGTATAGTTGGAAATCATACATTGAATCAAAGTCCATCTTCATTTATTCGCTTCATTTTGAAGAGTAAAATTTTAACATATCTTTGAATTTAACTAGATTACATGATAATGCAATTCCATCGTTAGGTTTATTGGTAAATAATTTTATATTTAATTTAGATTAAACACGACTCATTTACTAGGCATTATCAGTTCCCGAAAACAAAATTATCCACTCGTTTCCGATTTTTTTCCCACTGACAACTCTAACTACTAAAAATTCTTATTTTATACAGCCAGCAATACAAAGACCATGTTGGTCTAACGTTGCCGGGTGAAGGCCAATACCAACGTATAGACAGCCTATTTGCCTTGCCTTGCCTTACCATCGTTCGATGTCACTCGCCTAGCTGACCGAGTGAAGCGAGCGCTAAGGTGTACACAGCTCGTTTGACGTGACTACTTGTCTCACTTCGGAGAAGTATCGATTTTTCTGCACAAATCGAAGGCGCTCGACCAATAGCAGTCAATTGACATTGTATAATCAGGCATTTGCATGCTATTTAATATACGCGAAACATTTTATTCTACACTGTCTACACACTAACACTGTACATACTAACACTGTCTCTTGTTACATCTCCTGTTATACCATGATTTAAGCAAATAAACGTATGATAATAATATTATTATTGATAATATTACTACTTTTATTTATTTCCAAAATTAAATGGAAGTATTAAAGATTCGCTTAAATCAGTCACTGATATTAATTCTATATCAATGCATAAATACAAAAAAGCTTACACTAATTGGAATCTGTTTATAAATTTCTCTATGAAAATTCATTCAAGATTGACTTGAAGGTTGGAAATGTATAGGATTTATATTTTTTTTTTTTTTTTTTTTTTTTTTTTTTTTTTTTTTTTTT